CATAGAAACCAAGACTGCTTGTTTCCAATGAAAAATGTAACTAACCTTTACATAAACAGTACAGCATTTGAACAAGGATTAAAATGACATTGTAGATACAGTTTCTTCATTTGAGACTTTTATTAGCTGGATTTGACCTAACATGAATTTAGACCAGCGGTTCTCAACCTGTGGGTCGCGACCCTTTTGGGGGTCGAACGACGCTTTCACAGGGGTCGCCTAAGACCATCGGAAAAGACATATTTCTGATGGTCTTAGGAACTAAGACACCGCTCTTCTATCCGGCTGCCACCGCCCTCCTCCTCCTCCTCCTCCGCGGCTCCTCCGCCTCCAGGGTGCCCTTCTCCTCTGACAGCGCCTACTCCTGCTGCCGCAGCACCATCCCACAACGGCCATGCCGACTCCGAGCTGCTGGCCGGGAGCCGGGCTGACTCCCAGCTGATTCCCAGGAGCCGGTCAGACAAGCGGAGGCTGGGCCGACTCCCAGCTGACGTGCGCACGCCGGGTCGATTCTCAGCTGGCTATCAGGAGCCAGGCAGTGAGTAGCGGCCCCGCCAGTTCCCCACCAAAGTCTGGATGCCGACCCGACTCCCAGCTGACTGTCAGGAGTCGGGCGATGCTCATGGGGGCCATGCGGACATTGGCAGGCTGCTGGCTACGTCCTCCCCATCTCCCGGCTCATGGCAAGCACAGGGGCTTGACACACGCCCCCGACACTGCCCCGGGCTGGCTCAGCTGCATGGGCGGCCGGTCCGAGCTGGGTCTGGGCTGCTGCTGCCGCCTCTGCTGACTGAGCTGTAGCGCCAAGCTGGTCCCCACGCCTCCTGGTTGCCCGGCCGCGTTCCGCCCCGGCCACCCTCCGTCCCGCACCGGAGCTTTCCCCGAGCCGCCCGGCCCGCCTCCCTCACCATCAGAGGCCTCCTTGGCCCTCTGGTGCCCGGCGCGGCCCTGGGGCTGGTGGGCAGGAGCGACTCCTTCCTGGCTCGCCAGGCTCCAGGCCTCAGAAGCAGCCAGGCAGTGGGGAAGAGGGCGATGCCCGCATGTGCGTCAGAGGCCAGCCGGACAGGCCGGGAGGAGAGAAGAGGCGCCTTCTGAGAGGGAGCTGGCACTCCGGCCGTGCCCCTCTTGCATGTGATGAGTCAGGGAAGGGTCGTGGTGGTGTAGGGCTGCGCGGCGTGGAAAGGGGCTCCCACGATCCCGCCGCTGCGATGGTGCTCAGGAGGCTGGAGGGGCGGGCAGGTCCCGGGGGGGCAGCTGAGAGAGGGCAAGATGTGCCGGGATGAGGATGGGGGGCTCCAGACTACCATCCCCAGCAGCCCTAAAAAAGCACTGTGGAAGAGTGGGGAATGCTGGGAGTTGCAGTTCATCACCATCTGGGAAAACATGACTCTCCAAAGATCCTTCCTTCCTTCCTTCCTTCCTTCCTTCCTTCCTTCCTTCCTTCCTTCCTTCCTTTCCTTCCTTCCTTTCTTCCCCCTTCAATCTCCTTCCTTTTCCATCTCTTTCCTTTCCCCTTCAATCTTCCTTCCTTCCTTCCATCTCCATCTCCATCCCTTCCCCTTCAATCTTTCTCCTTCCTTCCTTCCTTCCTTCCTTCCTTCCTTCCTTCCTTCCTTCCTTCCTTCCTTCCTTCCTTCCTTTCCCCTTCAATCTTCCTTCCTTCTCCTTCCCTCCCTCTCAACATTTTTGAGCAAGGAAGAGTAAGCTTCTCCAGCGAGCATTGCTATATTGTTTTTGTGATTAATCACTATGCTTTAATTATGTTCAATTCATAACAATGAAAATACACCCTGCATATCAGATATTTATTTATTTATTTATTTATTTATGAGACTTATATACCGCTTTAAGTGCAAGCACTCTCTAAGCGGTGTACACCAGTAAGCAATGTATATATATATTTACATTGCCCCCAACAATCTGGGTCCTCATTTTACCTACCCCGGAAGGATGGAAGGCTGAGTCAACCTTGAGCCGGTGAGATTTGAACCGCTGACCTGCTGAACACAATCAGCTAAAGTGGCCTGCAGTACTGCACTCTAACTGCTGCGCCACCTCTGATATAATACTTATGGCCAATCACAGGATGCGACAAACTTAAAACTAATTTTAAGAGCTCAACAACACAGATGCCCTGAAGACAGAAATTTAATACTCCTATAGTAAAATTACAGTTATGAAGTAGCAACGAAAATAATTTTATGGTTGGGGGTCACCACAACATGAGGAACTGTATTAAAGGGTCGCAGCATTAGGAAGGTTGAGAACCACTGATTTAGACAAACAATACTGTTCTTTACATTTTGGATTAAGCCACAAAGGGGTTTGTTTGGTTTGGTTTTGAGCAAAGTGTGAGCCCAGCCATTTCTCAGGGGAAACAAACTATGACTTAGTGTGATATGTGAATCTCTTTGAAGATGTGGAAGAGAATTCAAGGTTTCTTAATTCAGAGAGTTCACTCTGTATGTTAGAAGAATACATATCACAGGACTTTTGATGGTTTTATGTTTTATGTGAGCATTTTAATTATATTTTAATTATTTTATTTTTGTTGAGTTTAGCCAATTAACTCAGTCAGTATCAATTAAAAGCATATATGTAATCTAATAAATGCAGTGGTGTTTCATTTAGCTTGCCCTTGCTTCTTTCCAGTTTCAATTGCTCCAATTATTTTATTTTGATCCACTCTCATCCCATCAATTTTACAATATAATCATTTTGACTGGGAAATGTGGGAGTTGAAACACATCTATAAAGATTGAAGAAAGCAATACTAATGGAATTTCTCATTCTTAAAAGCCAACCCGCATAGTTGAAGTAGCCTATATTTCGAAAAGAGTGAAATATTCTAGATAGTGTAAAGGTAGCAAATATTCCAATATGGTTAGAAATTGCTATTATAGAAAGCAGCAGAGCTAAATGTTGGATATAGAAAATACAGATGTATGCTTCATTATGAAGCATTATTTTCCACTACACAAATGTACAAGAAGAGAACAAAACAAATGAATGGTTTTAACTTGTGCATTTCTAGGAAGATACAGCAAAAGTGGCTGTTTGCCAAGGAGAACACCAGACGTTTCATGTTTATTTCAGTTAATGTAATTCTGTCTCAAGCATTACATTCTAAATTATGTTAGAGCATAAGATTACCTGAATGCAGAATGGACAGAAAATCTACTATATTAACCAGACTATTTAAAAAAAACCCTGCACCATTATTGAAGTAGTTGAACAGGCAATAGTGCCTCACTGGGGAAATAACATGTATTTTAAGCCACATATACAGTAGTGTATTTGTTTGTTTGCTTGAATAATCTATATTTATGTCTCTTATTTATATTTTACCCCACCTTATGTGACTTTGTATGCAAACTATAAATTGTAATACATTTATTTAGTCATTCATTCCTTTAGAAGAGATAGATAATAGGTACTGTGGAGAGATACCCGTAATTGTTTAGGGAAAAACTAAATTGCCCATAGGCCCTTTCTAAATCTAATTAACAGGACAAACAATTCTTTTTAGTGAAAATGCATTTGGAGATAGGCTAAGTTAATGATGAAGTCAGCATTGTTCTAACATTGTTACATGCCTTGTGCATAATACTTGATGCTGGTCTCTAATTTTAAAGTTAATGTCTGGTTTTATTACATAAAACAGTGCTCAGTTTTTAGTTTCTAATAGTTTGAAGCTTTTTTTAGTGCTTTTGTTAATGCGGTACATCACCACAAGTACTTATGGAGCAGACGGAAGAGCAAAAAATAATCTACATTTTTAAAAGGACATGATAATTGAGGCAGTAATTTTTTTTTTCATAAAGTTCTCATTGTTTGAGGAACAAGGATTTTACTGCTGCTGTTGCACAGTGTAACATTACTGATCCATCTCTGGGTGTCTGAAAGACTCTTCTTGGGCTTCAGAAATAAAACCATCCGTACCAACATCAAGGGTGCTAATGTCACAATGCTACAATTTAAAGATTTTGTAATCATAATCATCCATTATTATCTACTCTGATGAAACATGTATTGTGACATCATGACACAACTCCACTTTTTCATACTTATATTGTAACATTGCACACTGGTACTTAAGGCAAGACACAGCTTGTTGTGGTGATTAAAGCCACTGGCGTAGATAGCAGGAGACTAAGTTCCAATCGTCCTTTAGGCACAGCCAACTGCCCAACCCTGGGCCTGGGAAGGAGACAATGGAAAACCACTTCTGAAAATATTGCTAAGAAATCTGGATAGTTATCAGGAGTCATTAAAGAGCAGAGTTTGCATTGCAGCCTTTCATTGTATATTTGACATTTGTCTTTCCTTGCCCCTTCTAAATGCCTATGTTCATATTACATGGTCCTCAAATCCTCAGCCATGGCCTTTGAAACTAACACCATTTCCATTTGCCCCACCCCACTTCCCCATTTAGCTATCTTTGAGCTAAAGCCATTTGAAAAATAACTGTTAGCAATATACTTGAGGGAGAAATATTTAAAGTAAAAATAGTGTTTTTAATCGTATGTGCATATTTCAATATTTCAAGATCAGGCTTTTTCCCTTTTCTTCTTTTCCTTTTTAAATCAGCATTTTTTAAAAAAAATGTACAGAAAAATAAATATACATTGTATGAAAGAAGTACAACTAATTGGTTGATAGATACTGTAAATATAATATCTGTGTGAGAGTTCATGCATGTTTGAGAGAGAAAGAGAAATCAGCGTTTTAGAAAAATAACTAAATTGAGCTGAATATCTACACTACAGAGAACTTCTAATTCCTTAGCATATATAACTGCTTAGATTAGTCTCATGTCCCCAGAAAACCTCTATGACCTCTGTTCAATTGGGCACATCACATGAAATTCTAGCTCATTTAACAGGAAGATGCTAGGAATAGTCTCTTGTGGTGATGTAACAACAGTGAGCTTTCAACATAGTTAAAAATCTCTCTTCTCTCTTTCCCGCTAAGCTTTAATTAAATTTATTTATTTTCAGAAAATATCTTGCATCTGCATTTTACCGAGAAGTTTAAACCTCTGAAATCAGAAATGGGGAACTCCAAATGTTATTGGATTCTGTTTTCACTTCGGTCTGATTGCCCAGTGATTAGAAGGTAATGGGAAATTGTATGTTAAAAGCACACAGAAGCCACAGGTTTCCCACATCTTTGCTTTAATTGAATACTGGAGTGTTTCTGATGATAGTGGTGATAGGGAAGGACTGATATAATTTGCATTAAGATTCTGCAATTGGAAAAATGAAGTACGTTAGAATCCACAATGCTTCTCCTGAGCAAAATAAGCCAAGTGGCTTAGGTGACAGAGGGGATAAAAACAGAATCATATAACTGGGTTAGGTCATGCAGTTCTTGAAGTATAGTAAACAGCAGATTGAATTTCGGCTAAAGAAAAACTAAGGAACACATTGTGGGAAATCTAGAGACCATATTTGGTTTGGCTTTTGCATTGAGGGAGAGGGAAAACAGAATCACCCACTCACTGTGGTGGATCACATTAGAATAATTTGATCCTTTTTCCAAATGGAAGAAGAGTTGGCAAGATTCTAGCAACAACACAATCCATTTTGCACAAGAAAAAAATAACCATCCAGGCCCCAGTCCTGCACACATATTTAGGTACTTCATGCAAAGAGATAAAAACAGGATAACATATACCTGGCTTATTTGCATATTACTGAGAAACAGAAGATGTTTCTTTAGCTGACAACAACTCTTTACATATTGTTGTGTTTATATCACATATAGACCAATTTTCCTCAACAGGTCACACCCATACACATATGAAATATATTTGCATGGTTCACACATGTACTTCCCATTATACTTCATCATATCTACAATCCTGTCCAGGATGACCACCATATGAATTCTGTGGTCAAGCAGAAACACGAACCTTTCTAATCCAAGTCCAGGTTCTTAAATATCAAACTACTGATATTGATTAAACTAGACATCATGGCGGTCTCAGCAAGCAAAGCCTAAAATCTTCTCCATATGTTGGGTAGTGGGACTAATGGCAGCTGATCAGCCCTGTAATTTATCTGCTGTATCTATCTTTCAACCTCAAACCCAGTTTTAGAAATGATCAATTTCCTTTTGAATGCAAATAAGCAAACTTTCAGTTCAGAATTTTTTTCCATAATAATCTCCAGACATCCTCCAAACCTTATAGAAGCCAAAACACAAAAGGATGTATCTATTGATCTATTCAAAGCAGTCATTACCTTGTTGCTTCAATAAATAGAGATGCTTGCTTTCCTTTGGTTCTTTCTCATACCATTAATTTTGTCTTAAATATATTTTTCAAAGGAACAACTGGAACAGACTGCAGATTGTCTCTATTGTGATCACCTAAAAATAGGACAGAATTATTCAAATCCCATGGATACCTATCTTTTTGCCTCTTGTCATATAATAGGATGACATAAACTTCATTGTTAAAGACCAGCTTTTGATTACTCATATTAAAAGGACAATCAATAAAGAAAAACCTCAAACAATTAAACCAATCTAAATAATTTTTAATAAAATTAAAAGAACTATCTCAGGGCTTTTCAACCTTTTCACCCATTGTACCACTTTTAAGATATGGCAACATCCAAGTACCACCAGTCACCTAGCAAGGTGTCAAAAACATGATGACCAAAAAAAAAAAAAAAGGAAAAAAGTGATAAAGTACAGATAGTCCTCGACTTACAACAGTTTGCTTAGTGATTGTTCGAAGTTATAATGGCACTGAAAAAGTGCCCCCCAAGCCACAGCCGAGGAAGACGCCTGCCCGCCCGATGGCGCTCTTCCTCCTGTCCGAGGTTTTCATTGTGAGCATTTCTATTGAGGATTGGCAGCGGAGGTGGGGTGGGTGTTTGGTTTTTATTCCCCTTATCTGCTGGATTGTTGCAGCAGGTTTTGGTCACTTCACATGACCCTGGGACACTGTGATCGTAATAAATATGAATCAGTTGCCAAGCATCTGAATGTAAATCACAAGACCCTGGAGATGTTGCAGCATTCCAGCTGATCGGTGGTTCTTCTGGGCTCAGCAGAAGTGCCAGGATCAGTGCTGCTTTCCAGCTGATTGGTGCTTCTTCAGGACTCAGCAGAAGCACCAGGATCAGCACCGAGCTACAGCTAGAGCCTGGAACTGATCCTGGCGCTTCCACTGAGCCTGACAGCCCTGTAGCTCCAGCCATCTCTCGCTCAGGCTTGTGCAGTGCTGCCACCAGTTTAGCTCATTCCCCTCCCCCACTATTTTTCTAGGATGGTCGCGTACCACCTGCCAGGTGCCAATGTACCACAGGTGGTACCCATACCACTGGTTGAAAAGCCCTGAACTAGCTCACTCTCTGAAACATAAAACTCCCAAACACCAATAGCAGAATTTCTGTGGAGCACAAATTAAAACCACTAATAAGTGGAGAATGTTCTCTTTGTTCAATCCATCAAGGTAATGGGACATTGAGCAATGATTCTAAGTTTGTGTGCCAGCCCATATAGTATGGGCAACCCAATAATACATTTATAGTTGTCTCAATTTCCCCACCAGGCAGAGGCAGAAATATGTTTGCATTTGCATAGTATTATATTCTCCACATCATTACCATATATAGCACAATGTAAAAGTTGGCCAAAGAAAAGGGAAACCAAGATAGCAACTAGATAATAATTATAGCAGTTTGGAAGTTATTTAGGATTTTATACAAACTATTTCATGAATGTAAAGTTATCTGAGTTCACTGGGAACTTTATAGAGATCTGAGAACAGGTTTTTTTTTTCTGTGCAACTTCTAGCAGTTTTTGACAATTAATGCCATAAATCTGAGTTGGTCCTTACTGCTGTGAATATGAGCTGTAGTACAACACAAGAAAAATGGATTTATAATGCAGTATAGACTTCATAATATTCCCAGAGTGATGAGTCAGGACACTGTATTTTATTATAATCTCAGGAAAGCCATCAACACAAACAAGGTAGGAATCAGTGCAAAAGGTCCATTAAAAAAGAAAAAGAAAACACCATAGTTTTGCTACTATACACTAGGTTACTCCCACAACTTTGTCTCTAAAGTAGAAATATATATCCTGCAATCTTAAGAACCCTTGCCTTTAGATTGCCATTTTTCATGTCACAACACGAAGAATCAAATATAAGAAAAGAAATGCTACCTGTAATTTAAGACATGGGAGTAAAATCAGTTTTTGTTTTTATGTTGGTCTGCTCACATTTTAAATATAGTCATGGTACTCCACTCAAGTTGTGATCCTTGGCTTGAAAAAAAGATAGGGGAATAGTATTCCTTGATTCCTAATACTGGATGGGGAATTCTGGGAAGTTGCCAAGGTTGAGAAACATTGCTTTAACCCATGGGCCACAAACACCCAGTTCCCTATCTCTCTCCTCTATTTACTTGTCTAAGAATTGTGAATTCTGGTAAGGGAAAAATACATCTGTTTCTCACTGATTAGAGATTTTCCAATTAAATTTGAAACAATTGGTATTCTGAGATCTCTCAACTATATTTGTAATATTTCTAGTCCATTCATTATTAATTTAGTTTCATTTTTCCAGATCCTCAATAACTATGATGTCTCATTTGTATTACTATTCATAATAATGGCAGGCATCTAAAGACAGACACACTCAGAGATATTAAACAATTACAGATATGATTATCATATTGCCATCCTGTAATGTCCACCATTCATTTTCCTAATATGACATAGTTTGAATTATGGGCTATCGAAGACAATACTTGAGTGCTTTCAAGGCTTAAAAACTGTCCCCTGAATCATGGCTCATTGTGCTTATGGGTGTGAACAGATGCAGGCATGCACCTGTGTGGTTCCAGAAAAAACTAGGGCGGTTTCACTCAAATACTGACATTAAGATTCAAAACCTGATGTTCCTCATGTAAAATCCCTACCAAATGACTCAACTAGAGGGAGTCGTCCACTTACAAACATAACTGAGCCCAAAATTTCTGTTGCTAAGCAAGATAGTACTTTTGTCCCATTTGACGACCTGTCTTGCCACAGTTGTTAAGTGAGTCACTGCAGTTGATAAGTTAGGAACACGGTTGCTAAATGAACCTGGCTTCTCCCATTGGCTTTGCTTGTCAGAAAGGAGCAAAAGGGGATCACAGGACCCCGAGACGCCGCAACCGTCAAAAATCTGAATCAGTTGCCAAGCGTCCACATTTTGATCACATGACCACGAGGATGTTGCAATGTTGTACGTGCGGAAAACAGTCATAAGTCACTTTTTTTCAATGCTGTTGTAACTTCGAATGATTGTTAAATGAACAGTTGTAAGTTGAGGGTGACCTGTATTGAAAAATAGAAGTGGGAAATGCAGAGTCTTTGGTGTTTTCTGAGCTTGGTTATTTTCTTGCAGACATTTCATTAGCAAAGTAGGTAACATTATCATTGCTAGTCTAACACTTATGATACTATCTAGTTTGATAATGAAATGTATGCAAGAAAACAACCAAGGACCCTGCAGTTCAATCCTGAGCTACAAATATTTTAGCCATTCTTCTAGCTTTATGCATACCTACTCACCTGATTTCATGTATTATGTATTATAATATATAATATGCCTTTGGAATCATTGTCAAAAATATTGTAAACTCAATAGTTTGCTTGCTATTAGAAGCATTCGTACAAGAGACATTCCTCCGTGGAGGCTTTTAACCAGACAATTTGCCTAATGTTAAATCTGTTGCTTGGCGTGTCTCCTAGTAAAGTACACTTTATGTCATTGTGGGGGACAATGACATAAATTCTATTACAACTTTTAAAAGCCTTCTTTTAGAAGCAAACATAAAAGAAGAGTATATTTGGGGTCAAGGAACATTATGTTCAACAGACTGGAACAGTTGCTTGGTAGGTAAGTCTGAACATAATAGAATGGCCATAATATATTAAAGCAGTATTTTTTTTCATTTAGTGGCAGAGCATGACAAAAGAAAAAGAGAGACAGAGAAAAAAAAATCCAACCCTGTGCACACATGATTACAATGCATATCCCAGTCTTTTTCTGTAGAAGACAAAATATAGTCCCTTTCTCTTTTTTTGAGTTTACCTCGTTATGACCT